AGTTGCAGTGCCCGTACGAATTAGGCCAAGACAACCGACTAAAAATGTAGTTAGGTGTTAAAGCTCGCGTCGATCTTATAAAATTCGACATACAGTGGAGCCTCGGGTGACGAGCAGCCCCATCTACGCGTATTTCATGTAACGAGCAAACCAATCGCATAAACAATTTTACTTCGAGGAGCTTCCGTTCAGTTAACGAGTTGCCATTGCGTGTTATGCCTGTGCACACCGCCGAGTCCTTCTCCCAGATTGTGGTCGTATGCAACCAATCAGTGGACTGATGTAGTTTGAATGGCTATGTTTCGCAAGAAGAGTTCGTTGCCGGAACGGATTAAACTCGTTAACCGAGGTTCCACTGCTTAAAATGAAATTGGACCGTAAAGTTTGTTTGCGGTGCGGGTAAAAGGCGGCATACGAGCAACTGCTTCGTATGAGTTTATCGGCCAACTTTTCGCGTGTGATATACCGAATGCGATACGGCCTCCCGCCATGTCCGCTCGATCACACCACCGGTTGGCTTGGAGTGGACAGGTTGCTGGCACATAGGCGAGAGAGAGGGAGGTCTGTCACCGTCGGCCGAAGTTTTTGATTTCTTCACCTTCAGCATTCGAAAGCACTTTGCAATTAACACAACGACGTGCTAACAATCGTTGCTTAGAAGGCTTCCAACTGACTGAATAATTCGATCCTACACGAGACTGAGGGGATCGAACTGCAGTGGCTTCCTAATGTGACTATTAGGACACTTGCATGAGATTCGATACCGTCCCATCGAGTACTGGTGCGTTGGAGATCAGGTCGTGCGTGGTGCGCGCAGACGAGAATTTTTGCCTGCGTCCACTCCCATATCTAGTTTTTTTGCCTGTGTCTTACCATTAGAAGTGGAAAGGGTTAGATACAGCGCAACTACCTGATCTACTTTCTCCCAGACAGTGGCAGTCCTCGTGGGTTGCAACGGTTGAACCAGCCCGCACAGACTACCCTTTGAAGCTAAAGACAATAGAAAATGATAGTCTATTGATTGCCTAGGAAATCCTGTTTGGACAGTCGGCTTACTATGCCAGAATTGACGGATTCCATAGGTTGCAGTGGGCTGGACAGTTCAATCGACCCACGTAGCTCAGTTGGTTAGAGCGTTGGCCGTACTAAAGACTTCTCCTTGCTGTCGTGGGTTCGAATCCCACCAAGGCCGCCGAGTTTTTCACAAGTGGGTCAAATAGATGATAGTACAGCCTCCT